GAATTTATGCAAGCTTTCTCATTGTATCCTATTTGTCTCTTACTTTGCTTCCCTAGAAATATTAATACATTGACTTATTCAAATGAAAATATTTGTATAAATAATCTCATTTCCCTTTTGGAAGAGGTAGCTTAAAATTCAAATAAATAAAAGTAGAATAATGGAGAAAATATTGAATAAATAATAATAAATAAATAATATATGTGCACATAAAATGTTTCTTTCATAGAGTGACTCTGTGTCCATTATACAAGATATATGTCTAAAGCACAAACATCTATCTATTATGGATACTTTCAACTTTTCCTGACTTAAAGTCAAGACAACTAGAAAATTATATCCAGTTATCCAGGATAGTTTAGTTCTTAGAGAAAATTAATGATCATAGTCAGGATTTATACTTACAGAAACAAGTGAAACTAAAAACAAACTATTGCACCAAAATGTTTTCTTTAGTGCAATGATTACACTGACATATGTTTGTTAGTGCAAATGTTTTCATTAGAGAAAGAATATGTCTACTGACAAGTCTGAACATCTTAGGAATTCAGTCATTGGCCCTGATCTGCTGTGTGACACTGGAAAGATCCGGGAAGAGAGTGGTAGAAGCATTCAATCTACTTAACCACTCTCAAAATGCAAAAATGTTTCAAGAAAACTAGGGTCTGTTTGTTGGGGGTGTTCTAACAATATTAAAAAGACTATAAATTATCCTACGACATATCTTCATAGATTAAATGGAATTTCTTCTCACCTAAGACGTGTAATAATATTCAGTTTTATGTATCTAGACATATCTTGGCAGAAGTTCTCTGAGGCAGTAAGAATTGAATCAGGCTAAATAATCTCCGAACAGCTCTATAAGAAAATAAAAGTTCTGTGACCCTATAACTGTTTAAATATATTAAATGATGTAAATGAATTTTTTTGATGGTTTCTTGTTAGCCAAGTTGAAGTAAGGGACATGTAATATTTAGACTTGCTTACTAACCAGTCTTTTCTTTTAATGTTTCCAAGAATAAAGGCTCAAGATTATATTTTAAAGAACATATAACATCTATTTGTTGAATTTGTCTGCTTTTTTTTTTTACATTGATTTACTTCTATATTTTAAATACAATTCAGAGTTGAACATTTTAAAGAGAGAAGAGCAAGGAATCCAATCTAAAGAAGTTAAGAAGTTGTGCAAGGCTAAGTAGACAATTAGTGTCAAAGCCAAGACTAGAATGTAAGCCTTCAGATTATCAGTCTACGGAACTTTCAGTTATGACATACACATCTGTTGTATTATAATACTTTTTTGTTATTGTTGTTGTTGTTTTTGATATATGGCACATGTGTTCACCAGAGAGAGATAGAAAGAGACAGAGATAGTGAGAAATCACCCCCCAGGAGGAATGATATGCACGTGTACACATGTCCAGCATGATTTTCAAACTGCTGGGTCTCAGACAAAAATCTCAGAGTCTGCCATTCGGGATTCAGTCACTTTAACCTTCAAGCCACCTGCTATCCCTAATACTCATTTCTTTATAGATAATGTATGTCTATAAGTTAGTCATATGTTTCTTCATCAGTAAACTAAAACATGGTAATTTAAACTACTACTTTGTGGTTTATCATTTTGGAAAAAAGTGATAAAGAACATTTAAAAAAAACTTACGAAATCTCCATTTGTTGAATGCACACTTTAGTCTTTTTCCTTTGTGTTCCCCAAACTATGTTTCCACAGAAACGTAAGTACATTTTTGTGACCTCATCTGATAACCTTAGAGAAGGAAGATGGGTAGAAAGAGATCTAACATATTAGAATAAAATAAGATTGGTGATTTAATATTTTTCTTTTTTATTATTTTTTAGAGAGATTTTTGCTATAGGGCATGTGTGTTCACCAGAGAGACAGAGAGAGAGACAGACAGAAAGTGAGAAATTATCTGCTAGAAGGTGTAGCCACACCAAATCTCTTCTGCTCCATTCTCCTCTTGGGATTCTGGGCACACATGCACACACACCCAGCATGAGTTTGAAATCACCAGATCTGGGACTCAACCACAATCGGCCATGTGGCAGTCCAGCATTGTAAGCATGACGCCATCTGCTGCTCCTAGTAATTTTCTTTATTTTTAACAAGTAAGAACTATAATCTTTAGACTACTAGAATTAGAATAAATTTAGTAAAAACTGTCAAGTCATAAAAAGAAATGGGAATGGCTATTTTGTCATGTGTATACGGAGGTAATAACGTACTAATGACCGCAATGGGAAGGAAGTAAGGTCATCTCTAGATGGAATTCACTCATGGAGCACATCCTTCACTGATTAGGCTGCGACTCATTCCAGCTCAGACTTTTAAAATATTAGTACAGATGCCTCCACAGTGGCAAGACTTGACTGTAGGTCCTTTCATTTTTGAACTCTAAAGGGAATTCCTTATATTTTCTAACAAACTTAATCTCTTAAACTCTACATCTTTTGTGTTTTGGTAATTCTATAGTTTTGAAACTTATTAATTCTAGCTAATATTTAGTCTTTCTTTGATAAGTTGAATAGTTTAGATAATGATTTCGCTGTGTATAAAAATTAGAAAATATTAGAAATCTCTCAAAAAAGCTGAAGAAACTTTTCTGAATAAGAGTTCACTTAGGAACCCTGGTATAAAATCATAAATGCTTATGTATAAAGACAAAGTATAGTGACAGCAGACAACTTCAGTCTGTATTTTTGTCATGATATTAAATTCCATAAATGTACTTCTCTTGTTGTTCATAAGTGCCCACTGAAGAAAACAGTATGATTGTTGACACAATTATTAAATGGGAAAATATATCTTTCAGGATTCAAGAATCTTTAATCTCCCAAGTCCTCTTCTTTGTCTATCCAAATAAAATGTAATACTTCTTCCATTATTCCCTAAAACCTATATTCAGACTTTTTCTTTCAGGTGAATAGTCAAATGGATCAATATCTCAAGCTTTGTCCTTATAAGAGATATTTTGATTTTAGTACTATTGCTTATTTTAAACTGAAAACAACCTTACTCCACAAAATTTGGGGCATGATTAATATCAGCATAGAGATGTACTCAAGAAATACACTACTTTTTTCTCCTTTTTATTCCTTGTTTTATTTTTCTTTTCTTTTCCTTTTTTTTTTTGATTTATCAACTTTTTGTATAAGAGAGGGAGACAAAGAGAGACAACCATCACCAGTAAGCACCCACCTTCCCCATCCTTCCCAGCATGTGTGCACACTGAATGTACAGTTCAACCTGAGAACCAAACCCTGAACTTCCATATGGCCTCCTGCATACTGTTGCTGCTGTACCATGGCAGATGGACTGGAATACAATCTTTTTTTTTTCCACAAAATATTGTTTTATTTTATAATTTCTTACTTACATTTAAGTATTGTACATCTTTATGGCATATAGTGTGATTTTTCTTATTTTTTTATTTTGAGGGAGAGATTTTTGCTATAAGGCACAGTTGCTCACCAGAGAGGCAGAAAGACAAAGCAAAAAGCGGGAAATCACCCCCACCCACAGTGGGAATGACCATGCCATAATTCCTCCTCCATCTCCTCTTGGGATCTTGCGCATGCATGTACATATACCTGATGTGACTTTTCAGCCTCTAGGTCTAGGCCACGAACAGTGGTCAACAACGTGGGAGACCTGCAACGTAAGTATTATACATCTGCTGGTCCCACAATATGTTTTTAAAAGCACGCATGCATTCTTAATAGTGGGGAAGAGATACGTCATCTCTGCTTTTTCAGAGGGAGAAGAAATAAGAGTAGGCAAATGCTATAAATTTCGCAGACTTCACATTAGAATATTACTTGGATTTTGGTGTCACAATCAACAAAATGTCACATTCTCTGTCAGACATATTAGGAACTGGTCTTTGGAAAAGAAGGTTATCTTCTAACCTATAAATATTTCCTACACATTCAGGAATTCTTCTGTATGCTGGGTCTAGTCTTGGGGAGATATTCTGTCTCATCACCAAAAGCTCTCACATTCCATTTTATCAACCGTAGCTATTGAACAGGTATATGCAGTAAAATACCTTTAATCAACCAATAAACAAATGCATACACAAGTCGAGTTTACCAGATTCTGACTTCTTAAAATGAAATGCATATGTGTAACTGAAATATTTAGTGAGTAACTTCTGAGGTAAATATGAACTGTAGCCAAAATCACAGTGGTAGAAAATAGATTTCGATTGGCTTTATCGGTGATAACCACTTATTATTATTATTTTTTTCAGAGAGATTTTTGCTATAGGGCATGTGCACTCACGAGAGACAGTTTGAAAAAGTAAGAAACCACCACTCAGGGGGATGGCCTCATTGCAATCCCTTCTCCATTGTCCCCTCGGGATTTTGGGTACGCATACACATGCACCTGACATGAGTTTCAAGCCTCCAGGCCCAGAACTCAAACCATGGTCAACCATGTGAGTCCAGTTCCTTAACCACATGCCACCTGCATCATCCCCACTGTCTGAATGTTTCCATATTGACATCTCTATTAATATAAATATTTAATGTTAATATTTTAGCTCCAGTATTTTCAACTGTCCAGTAAAGCATTAACATCACTGGTAGTTTACAGACTTGGACAATTTGATTTGATTTTGACATTCCAAGTCAATTTCAATTAGAAACATTATTTGGGGTTGTATTCATTCTGATGTGGATGATTTTTTTGTATCAATAAATATAATATTTATCTTGCATATAAAACTGAGTTGAAATTTACAGATTCACAAAATTTAAAAAAATGAATTTGAGCACATGATAGATTTTTGCCAGTTGTACTATATATTTCTAATCTTTTTGAACAATATAACTTACAGGCCATATATTTATGATAAAATAAATGTTAATGACTCAGTTCCAATAGGGATGAAAAGAGATCCATGAGAAAAACGTTAAAAAGGTATTTGCATTTTCTCATGTGTTTAGTATGCATATATCTGTTTGCTTTTCAGAACTCTTGGATCTAAACAGAACATCAATATTTCATAGCCCTTTCGGATTTCTTGACCTCCATACAATGCTGCTGGATGAATATCAAGAGCGACTCTTTGTGGGAGGCAGGGACCTCGTGTATTCCCTCAGCTTGGAACAAATCAGTGACGGCTATAGAGAGGTATAGAAACATCAAACTATATTTCAGGAGGGTAAAAAGTTGGGGTGGGGTGTTGCAAGGATGTTACTTGCATTTCTTCAACCATGTTGACCTCTTGACAATTTTGAGAGATTATTTTATTGAAATACAATATGCATTAAAAATGAAATCCTTTTGAGAAAAGTTTATAAATCATTTTGTATAAACATTTCTAGCACACTACTGATATCTGAATTTCCAGGTACTCCTGCCTGTTACTTCTGACATTCTTCTGACCTGATGACCCTTGCCACCACACCCACTATCCTAAGAACTGGGTTTGGAACAGTTTCTCTAGGCTTTATTACTCCCAAATCCAAGCTTGAAGAAATATGGAAAAGTGACCTAATTGTAACCTCACCGAGGCTCTGTTAGTAATATCACTAATTCAGGTGGATGCTTTGTTAGCATGATCTATTATCATGTATCATTAAAATAAGCAAGTGCCCATTACTCTTGGACAAGGTTAGCTCTGGCGCGGAGGAAAATGTTATGGTACTTGTAGTATATAGTGGTACAGAGTTAAATTGAACCAAATATTTTTAGACTCGTATGAATCTTACACAAACATACAGAGATTTTTAGAATTCAATGATTTTTTTATATGCATTTGTGTGTTTTATAATATACCCTCTGCCATTTATTTTTGTCAAAATGTGTCATGTTTATATTTCATAAGGTCATTTAAAAAATTATGATGAAAAGCAGTGTATCTCATGGTTCCTTCCAGTCCTCTATCCCTAGAGGGAATTATTTTAAACATTTTGCTATTTCATCTGGCTCTTATTTCTATAGTTCTAATAACATTTGTGTACTGTTCTTTCTTGTATCGTTCATTTTAGACATCTTTAACTATAGAGAGGATGAATTAGTCTACTTGCAGTACAACACTTTAGATGTCTGCATACCATGCTTTGCCAACAACCCTCCAGTTACTCCCCCTATCTTCCCAATATGGTTATGCCACAAGTTTTAGTTAAATAATAATTGTATGTTTCTATTATTAGATAATAGGAGAATAATAATGGAGCCATATAGTATACATTTATCATATATTTCTTTTTTCTTTCTCTTTTTCCTTTCTTTCTCTCTCTCTTTCTTTCTGTAATTTACTTGTTTCTTCTGAGACTAAAAATTATTGCATTTTGGGCCAGGTGGTGGCATGGTGGTTAAGGTGACTGTATCCTACATGATCATCTGCATGGTTAGAGTCCCAGACCTGGTGGCTTGAAAAACACACCAGACACATGTGCATGCACACCCAGAATCCCAGGAGGAGAAAAGATTGTGGTACGACCATCCCCCTGGGGGGGGTGGTGGGAGGTGATTTCTCACTTTCCCTCTCCCTCTTCTGTCTGTCACTCTGGCAAGTATGCATGTCCTAAAGCAAAACTAAAAACAAACAAAAATTATTACAGTTTTCCTTTTACTTAGATTTTTATAATAGTTTCCTTAGTCGTTCACCAACATCTCTAGCAGAATTTTTACATTCCTCTTAACACAGTAAATCTCAGTTTACATTAGTTCAACTTTTTGTTTTATTCTGTTTCTTCATGAAAGCCATCCTCCATGGTTCTTTTGGCTTTACCATCATGCGGAGTCTTCCTTCAGTCCCACAATGTATACCTCCTCAGATTCTTAGATCCCCTATCTTTCTCAGTTTACTCTGATATTTTGCTGCAGTATATTTTCCTGTTGAAGAAAGATCTAAAGTTGAATTTCAAACTGATGTTACGTTTGATACTTATACTATTTAGGCTTCACAAATAGTTGATAGATGAAAATAAAATTCTGTGCTAAAAATCATTTGCTTCAAAATTTTGAGGATTTTTGCTCCCTTATTTTAAAATGTCCAGTTTAGCTTCAAAAAGTCTGATGGAATTCTAACTTCAAAGTTGTGCAACCTGTTTCCTGCTACCATACCCCTGAACCCACGCATTTGTAATCCCCTTTCTAATCTCTATGTTTTAAAATTTTCTCATATTTCTCTTAGTGTCAATCTTTTTTCATGCATCGCAATAGGACACAATGGACCTTTCTCTTGAGGATCCTGTGACTTTCAGCTCTGGAAAATGCTCATTATATTTCTCTGATGTTTTTTTCTTCCCTGCACTCACCTCTTGATTTTCTTTCTGGAATTCCTGTAAGTCAGATTTGTTTTCTTGTCTTATCTCGCCTCTCTACTTGTTAAACATACTTTTACCTGTTTCTTCTAACTTCATTCACAGCATCCATCTTCTCGCTCTTGAGGTTTATGATTTCTGAGAATTTCTGAGGTTCTTTATTATGAATCAGCTTGCTTATTAGCTTTTCTCAACTTCCAGATATTTGCATTCTGTCTTTCCTATTGTGCAAAGTCATTCAACACTTGTTGCTACATTTCTACTTCTAAAGTGTTGCTGACATTTCATTTATCCTATTTGAATTATGCCTTTTTAAACCTTTACTATTATTGTAGTGGTTGTAGGATTGAATGGTTGTAGGATGGAATAGAAGCAAATATTGTATTTCACCCTATTTTGTCTTTCTTTCTCATATCTCTAATTTCATTTTCTCTATAGTTCTCATTTTACTTTAAACATATGCGTAGAGTGCCCTCTTTTTTGCTCTCTTTCTCTGTACACACATACATAAACCCACTCTTTCTGGTCAAATTTATGTGTTTTTTTTTTTTTTTTCACTTCTGCGTTTGTGTTTTTCCCACTTCACTCTTAAGTGATTCTCCTTTTTTTTTTTTCCTCTATACTTTATTTACATACTCTAATTATCTGCAAAGGAATCTCTAAGCTAGGTGTCCTAGCAAGGTGGCCATAGACCAATGACCATATTAATTCAAACTTATAAATTTCAAAATTACAAGAGCTCCTCCCATGTAGGAGCAGGTGCCAGGAAGTAGTCCTGAGGCTTCTTGAACTTCATTAGCTCTAAAGTAACTTCATCCCACCTGCATTTCTTATTTTGTACTTGTCCTGCTTGTTTTTCTGGAATGAGTAGCAATAACACTTTTGACAGTACCTCTGTATTTGTTTTTAGTCTGCTTCGTACATATGTGCTGGAATGAGTGGGCTCATGAAGAGAGTTGATTCTATGGTGCTCTCCAGACTCTGAAAACATAGCATGTACGCGTTGGGGCCTTGCTCTTCTCCTGCCTTGTCTGAACCTTGCTCTCTCTATTATTTGTTAGCTATCATATTTTTAAATCTTTCCTGCCTTACTTTCTCTATGCCTGAGTTTCTCAGCCTCGGGACTACTGACAGTTTGAATAATCCCTAGTTGGAGGTGGGATTGTCTGGTGCATTGTAAGATGCTTTAGCTGCAGGCCTGGCTTCTACCCACTACATGCCAGTAGCACCTGCCCCATAGCAAGGCAATAAGAAGTTTCTAGACATTGCCAGATATTCCCAGAGGGACAAAATAACCCTAAGTCAAACCATCGAGGCTAGCCTATCTATCTTAGCAAGGTCCAGACCCTCCTGTTATAGACACACACAAACACCCTTAGCCCTATCGCTACTTATCAACATCACATTCCTCCTTGCTTTCAGATCAAGCACCTTGAAAGAGTAGCCAAACTTCATTTTATTTACTTTCTCACTTTCTGTTTATAACTTTTAATATCTTTTAAAATGTAATATATGACATATTAAAAAATATAAATATGTTAGAATGTATACTAAATAAAATAAAAGCCTGTGAACAGACCACTCAACTCAAGAATGAGAATACTACCTATCCCAGCGCAGGGGCAACTACCTGCATCCTCTCCCTGTTTCCTTCCACATGCTGCCCAGAAGCAGTTACTACCTTGGATGTTATGTTACATCATCCCTTGTTTAAATTTGTAAAATTATTTGATCATCGGACTAGCTCTGTGGTCCAGTTGTTAAGGCAGTTGGTTCTCACATGACTGAGCTTGCCGTTAGAGTCACATCCCTGGGGGCTTTAAAAACACACTGGGCATGTATGTAGGCATGCCCCAAATCCCACAGGGTGGAGAGATGGAGCAGAAGGCACTGCAGTGTTACCATACCCAATCATAGGGTGCTTTCTTCCTCTCCCTTTCTCTGTCAACATTCTTTCTCTCTGGTGAGTACCACATCTCCTGTCTAAGTTTTAAAACATTATTTTTATCATATGTGAATAGTTTTATACAATATCTTACTATGTCTTGCTATTTTTGAACTATGTGAAAGTAAGATATGATATATTTCAGTCTTCTACAATCACTTTATGTTTTGTTTTGTTTTGTTTTTCTTAGATTCAATCATGTTACTTGTACCTATGCTTTATTTGCTATAGAGGAAGAATGGTAAATTGGGAGCACAACTTAGATTTCACAGTTCAGATCCTGGTTATACATGTATAACCTTGGGTGTTTCTGAACATCTTTGTACCTCTTTTTTTTTTTTTTCATTTTTAAAGAGAAATGTTAGTCTTGTCTGAGTTTAAAAACTGAGTTAATTTATGTAAAGCAAGAATATTGTTTAGCGTATAGTGAACACTAGGTATAGTTCTTATTATTCACCTTGAGTTCTGTGCAGTATGTTCCATTATATGAATATTGCACAATTTAGCTATCCATTCTGTGACAAAGGACATTTGGGAAGTTTCCAGTATTTTGCTTATTGATGTTATTATGAACATACTGGTAAACATCATCATATGCAAGAAAGCTTCCAGAGCATATATTCAGAAGTAAAAGGGCTGGGACCAGCAGTTAGTGTAGTGGCTATGTCGCTAGACTCCCATATAGTCGACCGCGGTTCAAGTCCCAGACCTGGTGGCTTAAACTCACACCGTGCATGTGTGCGTGCATGCCCAAGATCCTGAGAGGAGAATGGAGGAGAAGGGTTGGCGGTGTGGCCATCCCCTCTGGGGGTGATTTCTCGCTTTCTATCTCTCTGTCTCTGTCTGTCTGGCAAGCGCACGTGCCCTATAGCAAAAACCTCTCCAAATAAATAAATAAAATAAAAAATAAATTA